ATATATTAAAATTAGGAGATGGAACGAGTGCACCGTGATTAAATATTGAAACTTGAAGAAATTCCCCGAAATATTGCTCCAAATACTTGACGAATTAATTTGAAGCTTGAAAGTTGCTCCAAAAAATTTGCCCAAATACTTGAAAGTTGAAACTTGAAAGATATCACTTGATACTTGATAGTTGATAGTTGATACTTAATAGTAACAAAATTGAGAGAATAATATAGAAAATAGATAGAATATTAGAATGTTAGAGATTTGAGAGAGAAGATTGATTTTTTGTGGGAAAAAATGAAGAAGAATAGGGGGTATTTACAGTAGAAAATAGGGCCAAAGTGTAATTTAATAAACTTAGGGGTTATGTTAAAAGTTCGGGGGGGAGGGGGGGGTAGGGGTGNTTAAATACTGGCGGGACGCGGGACGGGACGGGACGGGACGAAACGGGACGGGACAAACGGGACGAAATGGCTGTCCCGTCCCATCCCGTGTCCCGTTTAACATTGGCCCATCCCATATAACTTGAAGCGGGACGGGACGGGACGGGACCGGGACGGGATGCGGGACGGGACGGGCCGGCCCGTCCCGTTGGACAACCATACTTAGATTCCACATACTTGACATTTTGATTTGTCACATTCAAACTTGGGCAATACTTCCAAATTAATCATTTTCCGTAAGGTGTTATAATTGACATGACCCAAACGTATATGCCATAATTCATTTGACTCAAGTAAGTAAGACCAAGCTGAAATTTTATTATTATTTTCAACAACCATTACATTCAGCTTGAAAAGGCCCTCAGTGAGGTAACCTTTTCCTACAAACATTTCATTCTTACTTATTACAACCTTATTGGAAACAAAAATACATTTTAAACCATTCTTAACAAGAAGTCCAGTAGAGACTAAGTTCTTCCTAATCTCGGGAACATGAAGGACGTTGTTCAAAATCACCACTTCGCCGGAAGTCATTTTGAGAAATATCTTCCCACATCCTTCAATCTTGGCCTTTGAAGCATTTCCAATAGAAATCGTCTCATTGGGTCCAACAGGAGCATAAGTAGCAAAAGCTTCTCTAACAGCACGAATATGGCGAGTGGCTCCAGAATCAATCCACCGCTCTTTAGGATTGCCCACCAAGTTGCATTCGGAAAGCATGGCACATAAGTCATCAACATCATCATGCTTTTCTACCATGTTTGCTTGACCCTTCTTCTTATCTTTCTTCGGAGCACGACACTCCGTAGATTTGTGTCCGGTTTTTCCACAGTTGTAGCAGTTTCCACTGAACCGCTTCTTGCTTGGGTTGTATTTCTGTCCAGAAGCCTTCTTTCTCTTTTTGTTTTCTTCAACAATATTTGCTCCCATTATTGTTGAGTTCCCACGATCTCTCTTTTCAGCAGCTTTGTTATCCTCTTCGATTCTCAACCGAACAATGAGATCTTCAAGGGACATCTCCTTGCGTTTGTGTTTCAAGTAGTTTTTGAAGTCCTTCGACAAAGGAGGCAACTTCTCAATCATCGCTGCTACTTAGAATGCTTCATTGATGACAAGACCTTCAATGAAATTTTTGTTAGTAAAAATACTAAGATTACTACTTACAACATCAATATTAATTTGATTTATACCTTCAGCAAGGAGATCGTGAATAATCACTTGTAATTCGTGGACTTGGGTAATAACATACTTGCGATCTACCATTTTGTAGTAAAGCAACTGAACTGAGATCAAAATACATGTGAATTTTACATGATATACTGCATACCGAAAGATTGTTAAAGTTATTGTGGAGCCACGAGCCAATGTCAAAGATCAATCCGCTCTTTGGGGCCATGAGTATAGTAGCCCAACCTCAACTTGTTGCTAGATATATGATGATACATGATATATAGCTAAACAAAGATCACAAAAACATGTAGTTTGCTGAAAATACCATAAAAGCATATATAATTTTACTAATATTAATTCTATTTTTGGAGGAAAAGATTTTGGACTCCTATAATTAAGATTTTCTCCTTCTCATCTAGTAGCATCCATAATGTAGACCTTAGACGTTTGCGTCTTGTTTAGGGGAAGAATTTGTGACAGAAGTGTTGTTATTCTATCGATATTTTGTACTATTTTTTATATAGTATGTTGTTCATCTCTATTAGTATACTATATTTGTAAAAGAATTCCGGAAATATAAATGAACATAAACAAATATGAACAACGAAATAACAGAAAACCAATTCGAGCCCACTGAATTCACAGTGTTTCCTTAAGGAATTTAATCCCCTCCTAGTACCCAAGGTTATGGATTATTTCCTCCCAGGATAGAACGAATTACACACTGGTGTAGTGGTACTTCGCACCCCAGTGTTTCAGCGAACACAAAGTTCGGTAGCAAATCACACTTACTGTTGCTTTGTTTGATGCTAAAAGTATACAGAAGGAGGAGGAGAAACTCAAAAAATCGTATGAAAATTCTGAGCAGAGTAGCCTTGTATTTATAGCCAAAGTTGGGCTGGAATCTGAAGAGGTGCAACTCTTCAAAATGGCTGTTTATGCAAAACGGCCACAGCATAAATGCCATTACATAAATGGCTATTTACTCAACAATAAAGAGGGAAAATAAAGAGGAAAAATTGAGGAGGGTAGTTAATTTTCTGTTTCCAAGACAGAAAAAACGGATTGGAGGATTTAATATCAATATTTATTTTAATATTAATATTCTGTTATTAAAACAAATATTTAATAAAATTTCTGTTAATATTTTACTATTAACAAATAAATTTGGTCCAAAAAGTCCGAATCCGAAGCCGAGCGACGACGGCGCGAGACTTGCCTTCTTCTCAACTCTTTAAGAGATAGAAGAAGAGCAATTGCTTATATACTCATAAAAAACCTCTTCCTCTTCCAATATGGGACAATGTCCATTTGCCAAGGGGAGAAACTTAAAATTTCACTAAAAAATTTCATTTCCCTCCATTTCCCATTCACCCTCTTTTATGTATTTAATATATATTAAATACAAAAAACCCAACAATCTCTTCATTTCGGTTTAGTCAATTGACCGAACTATGTAAAATGTTTATGTCTTTTTTAGTATATTTTTTTTGTATGATTTATCGTCGTTGAAGTTATGCAAGTTTGATTATTTCTATCCTAACAGATATAACCAAAACTAAAGTAAACTACTTCCTAGATTTTGTGCCGTTATAAAGGAGTTACTACTTCCTAAATATGATTATAAATCAGTAAATCATCTAGTTAGTTGGCCAAATATCAGCATTTTAATCACTAGTTGCAGCCTTTATCTTAATCATCTTGGATTTTTATATCAAACTAAAAGATGCCTGATATGTGTTTACACATAGATTTCTTTTAGTACTTAATCATGATTAATTATTGTATATTCTCACCTTATTAATCAATTATAATATATTAACATAGTTTGATCTAAAAATTCGGTGCGAATAAGTTTTTACGTTACCACTATTAGATAAGCGTACTTACATTGCAGATAGGCTAATCGAATTGTGGCCAATTATCAGCGTCGTATCTTAACTCGCGAGCTTTGACTCATCACTAGTTGTTTTTCACCAAGCAATCTTGGTCTTCAAGTTTAATGCTTCTCTGATACTGAAACTATCAAGTGAATTCCGGTTGTGGTTGATCGAAATCCTTAATAGACCAGCAATATCCATTAATGTAACAAAATTAAACGAAATAATTACAATTGTAGAGGATAAAATATAAATATGAAAACTGGATTATTAGCTGCTCAATTTAGCACAATGATTAACCTAAAGTTTCGTCGGGTTCACGGCAGCATTCAGACAATTTTATCTACTTAACTTGGTTGTACTTTTATGAATTCTGATGGCTGTAATCGGAGTGTAGTTATTTCACGGCTGTTTCAACAAAATGAACAATAAAAATTCATGTTCGCTCTAAGAAATTGAATTATTTGATTATCTTATCTTAATATTTAAACTGTCATTAATTTACTTTTATCACTTAGTTATGTCTTTAACATTGCCTCCTCACATGGTCAAGAAATACGTGAAAATTCTTTTTGATCATTAGTGAACTCACTTTTATTCGCTTAATTATGTCTTCAATATTGCCTCCTCACATGGCCAAAAAAGCATGTGAAAATTCTCTTTAATCATTAGTGGCGATGAAACTCGAATCACAGGACCACCCTTCAAATCTCTCCTTTGTCGGTAAAGGTGGATAAGGAAATTGCCAGCTAGAAAGCAGAAATCGATTTTGCCAAGCCCGAAAATTACTAAGGACAGTCGTGCCCAGCATGCCCTCCCCACCCTACCGTCAAAGCTTCACGTTACTAAACAAGCAACAAAGGCTCTTCCTATGTTACTAGTCAAGCGGTAACGAGCAAGAAAACGGATATGTCCGAAGAATGTTTTGTCTCAATCAATTAAAAATGCCTCAATTGGATAAATTCACTTATTTCACATTGGATCTAGCACAGATCATCTCAGGTCCACTTGAACAATTTGAAATAATTCCATTGATTTCTATGACAATAGGAAACTTATATTTCTAATTCACAAATTCATCTTTATTTATGCTACTAACTCTCAGCTTGGTCCTAATTTTTGTTTATTTGCTTTGATAATCTCATTTATAAGTTTAAGCTATAAGAACGAACATATTTTTTGACTAAATTAATTGTAGACGGAAAAAGTTATAAAAGAGAAAGAAGTAACCGCAGCAACCAAACTATCCTGGCCAGAATTGTACTCAGTGGTCAGTGCAGCATAGTAAATGAGTGGAATTGCTGAGTCTTTCTTCTGAAGGTTAGTTGTGAATTTGTGATCATACGTGGATTTGATAGTTCTTATATTTATGTTTAAGGTCGTCATAATCAAAGAGGAAAAGAAATTAATGGACAAAGAGAAGTAGAACAGTGGAGCAGAAAGAACGAGAGGTGGGCAGAATTCAGGATATATAATGTGGATAAGAGTAAATACTCTGAGACTTTCAGAAAAGAATGAATATAAGTACCCATTTGGATTCTCCATTAATCGCGAAATTAGCCTTGTAACAATGAGCTTATCACATTCTTACTACGATGCCATTACAGATTATATTGGAGAGGAACTGCCACTGCAGGTTTTGCCTCATAAGTCATATCTATCATCTCAATTCCTATCATAGACGAATTTAGGGCAAGTTCAAAGAGTAGATTAATCCCATAATTCGTACAGATGTAACAATAAAATAAAATGTATAAATATAAAATAAGATCATGTTCAACTTGAATCCACTGAATCTAAATTCAGGGTTCGCCTTTGAATTTCTAACTTATAAAATTCTCTGTCTAGAAAAATTTTTGCTACTACTATATACCACATGGTAGCTGACTCCAACCATGTAAGAGTACTCTCTTCTCTCTCTTTCTCTTCTGTTTTTAGTTACTGATAGTTATACGAGATCAATATTCCCTTAATACCAAAATAATTCAGCAAGAGTAAAACTCGACAAGCTCATCCAACGACTCTGGCTGGGGATCAGCATTTTCAAGCATCCAAAGTAAGTGTTCAAAAAGAACAACTTCACAGGCGATGGTGACGACGGAGTCTTCTGAATCCCCTGATCTTTCGACAAGTTCCCTGAAGAGTGGATGGCAGACAACGTCAGAGGTGACGAGGTATAGGCGCCGTGACTTACCAACGTAGAAAGTGTGTTGGTCTTTAATGGAATATGAATCTTCATCAGAGGAAGAATTGTTGGTGGCCACTACCAGGCTGCTGTTAATACGGCCTGGCTTGAAAGATTGCATTTTCTTCAAGACTGACTTTAACTTGGTGAGTTTGCCTCCTTTAGCCATAGGTTATACTTTTATTGGGTTGTTAGAGAGAAGAAGAGCTTAATGTGAATAGGAAATTGAGGAAGAGAAATAAGAGTAGTTGTTTGAGAGAATGAGATAGGAAGTTTCGTATATAAAGGGGAGGGAAGAGTGAAAATGGAATATGTAAGGGGCAGCCGTTACATACATTGAATAGTATAAGCACTTGGCGGGCCCAAGATTTTGGCAGACAAAACCAGCTGCGGCGTTTGGATCTTTCTGAGGGAACGAACTCCTTTCTTTTCTTTTTCTGCTTTATCACAATTTGTTGCTAAGCATCTTATATGTGATTGCAATTATTGACAGATTTCCGCAGCTAGTGTACCAATCTTCACTTAATTATTTAGTTTGAACTAAATCCATAATATTATACTCCACGTATTAATTGACCTAAACTTGTAGATTTGCTTGTGGTCACAATTTACCTAAACTTGTATCATGTCTTGATGTGAGGATTAAGGTGTTGATATCTTAATTGGTCTCTTTATCTGTAAAGCATACCTATGTTATGTATGAACTGTACTTCTTCAGCTTTTGTATTCATTTAATGATACCATACTTTATTTTGTATATTATTGCGCTTTCACCTAATTATTTGACTGTTAGTGAGTATTAGTGTTGCCCCTCGCCTCTACTTCTTCGAGGCTAGACTTGTTACTCACTAGGTATCGTGATTTTGTACTCATACTACACTTCTTCACATTTTGTGTAAGTTCTGAGGTTAGTATTGGTGGTGTACATCTGGCTGAGTAGGAGACCTAGTAGGGATTTCGTGGTGAGCTGCTTTACTTGACTAATCTACAACACATGGAGTCCATCTCCCTACTTATCTATTTGGTCTATCTATCTATTTCTTTCATTCATACATTATTATTCAGTTTATGCACTTTCTCCTTGTTAGAATGTTGTGACACCATATTTTGGGCATTGTAGACAGTTGTGATCTTGTTTAGACCCTGTCATAGATATTTACATCTATGTTGTTGGTTTTGAGACTTTTTCTACTTTTTATTTTATTATGTCTCTGTTAAAGATTTAGTTGATTTGCTTAAATTATGATGGATTGAGCGTTGGCTTGCCTAGCAAGCAGGTTAGGCACCATCACGATCTTTTGGTAGAATTTTGGATCATGACAAGTTGGTATCAGAGCGTTAGGTTCTAAGGGTATAACAAATTACAAGCAGGCCTAGTAGAGTCTTGTAGATCGGTACAGAGACGTCCGTATCAGTTTACGAGAGGCTATAGGAATTTGTGAAACTTTCTTTTTCTTGATTCCTTATCGTGCGTTGATTATTTCCTTGAGTCTAAAAGTTTTCCTTCTACTCTCCCACTGATGGTGAGGACGCGAGCTTCAGTAGCGACATCAGATGCCGGAGAGGCAGTAACACCGGTTGTGGCAGGAAGAGGTATGGTCCGGGGTAGGGCCAAGGCTCCAGCTAGGGGCCCACTATTACAGCTAGAGGTGGAGCATCCATTGGGGCTCATATCCATGCCAGGGCATTTTTAGTAGACCCACCTGCGAATTAGGCAGATGATCATATTAATGCTCTAGTGCACGTCCAACATCTAGAGGGTTTCATTGTCGCACAGTATTTTTGGAGACCATGGCCAAGATGGTCAACTTTATTGATGCACTCAATCCAGCTAGAGTGGTTCAAGTGGCCGCAGCCACATCTCAGGCTGGAGGGGGAGCTCAGACCCTTATCACTCATACTCCCGAAAAGCATATTTTAGCACCTAGATCTGATAATTTTCCTGCCATGTGTGCTGATGAGTAAAAGAGATTCGAGAGGTTTAAGAGGTTGTCTCCTCTACTCTACACTTTGAGGGTGGTGCTTCAGAGGATGCCCAAGGCCTTCTAGACATATGTCACCAGATGCTTCGCAACTTGGGCTTGGTAGAGTCCAACATAGTGCACTTCATTACATTTAATTTTTAAGGAGCCGTTAGGAGATGGTGGAAGACTTATGAGTTGGCAAGGCCAACTCGTTCATCTTCTCTTACATGGGCCCAGTTTTCGTATCTATTTCTTGAGTGGTACATCCTACTCAACAGGAGGAATTAGTTGAGATAACAATTCGAGCATCTTCAACAATATCGTATGTCAGTGACTGATTATGAGGCGAGATTCACAGAGTTGTCTCGCCTTGCAGCTTTCTTGATCCCCATCGAGGCAGAGAAGGTGACGGGGTTTATTGAGGGTTTGGCCTATGGCATCAAGGTTACTATGGCTTGAAAGTCAGAGATTGGGATTACTTTCCATTTGGTCGTAGAGATAGCTCAGAGGATCAAGTGTATTCACAGCCATGGGAGAGAGGATATAATGAGGGACAAGATGCATCGTCGTTCTAGCAGTTTCGGTGGTACCTCGTATAGAGGTAGAGGTTTGTTCAGTAGAGGTCATCATGGTAGACCAACTCATTTTACACAACATATATCTTATGGTGCAGAGGATCGAGTATCTTTTACCACTCTAGTTCTGTCATCCTTTAGTGCTCTTCCAGCAAGCTCATATCGAGCTCCGTCTGTTCAGAGTTCCTCCACTGGGTATTCGAGTCATTTGGGGGCAATATCAGTCTCAATAGCCTCATTCAGCTAAGAGTTGTTATGAGTGTGGAGAGTTTGGTCATGTGAGGAACTATTGCCCCTAGATTCGTAGAGATGCAGCTCATCAGAGTTCCCAGTTAGTGGTTCCTGCCACGGCTGCAGCACCCCCTACTCAGCCAGCTAGAGAGGGAAGGCATGCAGTGAGAGGTCGCCGTAGAAGGGGAGATCAAATTGGTAGAGCTTTGACCAGTGCCCGACAGGCTCGTTGCTATGCTTTTCTAGGTAGACCCGAGGTGCTATGATCACATATATGGTTTCGGTTTGTCATAGAGATGCTTCTATATTGTTTAATCTGGGGTCTACTTATTCATTTGTGTCATTGAATATTTCTCCTTATCTGGACATTCCTTATGGTTCTCTTGATATTGTTGTTCATGTGTCTATGCCTGTTGGTGATTCTATTGTGGTGGACTGTGTGTATCAATCTTGGATGGTTACTTTTGGGGTTTGTGAGACTAGAGTTGATCTTCTGTTGCTTAATAAGGTTGATTTTGGGGTGATTATGGGTATGGATTGGTTATCTCCCTACCATTCTATTCTTGATTGTCACGCTATGATTGTGATATTGACTATGCCGGGGTTGCCAAGGTTAGAATGGAGGGGTTCTCTTAGTCATACTCCCAGTAGAGTGGTTTCGTTTATAAAGGCTCAACAAATGGTTAAGAAGCGGTGTTTGGCGTTTCTGGTCTTTGTTAGAGATGTTAGTGCTGATAATCCTACTATTGAGTCAGTTCTAGTAGTGAGAGAGTTTTCAGATGTGTTTTTCACAAATTTACCGTGCATGCCAGTCGATAGGGTTATTGATTTTGGTGTTGATCAGTTGTCGGGCACTCAAGCCATATCTATTCCACCGTATTGCATGACCCCTGCTGGGTTGAAAGAATTTAATTAGAAATTGGAGGATTTGTTGGATAAAGGATTCATCAGGCCGGGTATCTTCGCTTGGGATGCGCCGGTGTTATTTGCGAAGTAAAAAAGATGGTTCTATGAGGATGTGTATTGATTACAGACAGTTGAACAAGGTCACTGTCAAGAACAAGTATCAATTTCCTCGTATTGATGATTTATTTGATCAAATTTAGGGTGCCAAGGTGTTCTCGAAGATTTACTTAAGATCAGGTAATCACCAGTTGAAGATTAGGGCTTCGAACATCCCTAAGACAATTTTCAGGACTCGTTATGGGCATTATGAGTTTTTGGTGACGTCTTTTGCTTTGATTAATGCCCCAAAAGCTTTCAAGCATTTGATAAACAGTGTGCTCTAGCCTATTTTGGATTCTTTTGTTATTATGTTCATTGATGATATCTTGGTATATTCCCGTAGTACTGAGGAGCACGAGCACAATTTGAGGATGGTGTTTCAGATTCTGAGCGAGTAGAAGTTATATGCTAAGTTCTTCAAATGTGGGTTTTGGTTGGACTCAATGGCATTCTTGGGCCACATGGTGTCTAGTGATGGGATCAAGGTGGGCTCGAAGAAGATTGAGGCAGTTCAGAGTTGGCGTAGACCTTCTACTGCTACAGAGATCAGGAGTTTCATGGGTTTGGCTGGTTACTATCATCGCTTTGTGGAAGGATTTTCATCTATTGTATCCCCATTAACCAAGTTGGCTCAGAAGGCGCTCCATTCAGATGGTCTGACGAGTGTGAGGAAAGCTTTCAAAAGCTCAAGACTGCTTTAATGCAGCTCCAGATTTGGTAGTACCCTCAAGATCGGGGATGTATACTATCTATTATGATGCTTCACGTGTTGTCCTTGTGTGTATGTTGCTGCAGGATGGTAGGGCAATTGCCTATGCATCGCGCCAGTTGAAGACCCATGAGAAGAACTATTCAGTACATGATTTAGAGTTGGCAGTTATTTTTTACGTGCTTAAATTTTGGAAGCATTACTTATATGGCGTATTTTTTGAGGTTTAAATTGATCATCGGATTCTTCATCATCTATCCAAGCAAAAAGATTTAAAATTGAGCAAGAGAAAGTGGTTGGAGTTGTTGAAGAATTATGACATCACTATCTTCTATCATTCGAAAAGGCTAATGTGGTAGCAGATTATATGAGTAGAAAGGAGGATAGTATGGGGAGTTTGGCATTTATTCCAACTAGGGAGAGGCTTTTTGTCTATTGATGTTCAGGTTTAGGCTAAAATATTTGTGAGATTGGATATTTTAGAGCCTAACGGAGTTCTTGCTTGTTTTGTTGCACAATTGTCCTTGTTTGAGCGCATCAAGGCTCACTAGTATGATGATCCCTATTTGCTTGTCCTTAAGGACACAGTGTTGCGAGGTGGTGCTAAGGAGGTGACTGTTGGTAATGATAGTGTATTGCAACTTCAGGATCAGATTTGTTACACCCCATGTTTTCGTACGTGGAAGTACGCCATAAGTAAATTGATATAAGCTCGGAAATGAGATGTTACATCCCGCATTTTTGTACGTTAAAGTTTCGACGTAAGTTAATCGACGTAAGCTCGGGAAT